GGCCGAGCCTTGGGGCTTCCAGCGCCCACTGGCAAGTGCCCGCTCAGACCACCACCCTCAGGGCTGCGGCCCGGCCCTGGGGAGGCAGGCATGCCACCGAGGCTGGTACCCTCTCTTCTGGGGCTCCTGGTCCACGTGGTGCACAGACGGCAAGCCGATGACGTGTGCACAAGCTCACTTCCAGCCCTGTGTGCAGCTGCACGCTGCACCATGAACTCGCAAAAGCCCAGAGGACACGTCCTCAGCCAAGGAACACAGATGCCCTCTGCAGAGCGACGCTGAAGCAAGCAGCTGACAACACGGAAGGGGGACTGGGCTTTCTGGCTGGAAGGGATGAGGGGCGTGACGAGGTGCCCACACAGATAGGGGACGGTGCAAGGGGTGAGGGGTCCAGGAGAGCATCTGGAAGATAGTGCCTGTCCCTGGGGGAGGCTCATCCTGGCAATGCACCCAGCTGCATCAGCCTTGGATCCTGAGCCAGACCCCAGGGGACGGCTCTGTGGCATCGCTGGTGGCAAGGCCTGCACCACAGGCATGCTCCACAGCCTGACCGCCTGGTCGAGGAGCCTCCAGGCACCTACCAACCCTGGCTTTGTCGTTGGCCCTTCACTTGAACTCCCCGGCCACTCCCCTGGGTCTCTGCCACGACCATCTCCATCTGGAACGTTCTCCACACACGGCCACCTGCCCCCTCTGCCTCTCATCCTCAGTCAGATGGTGCCTGCCCCCCGCCCCCACCTTCTGAGCACGTCCACGTGGCCTCCGCTGTCCGTCGGCTCCCTGGCTCGCCTGCCGTGTCCTGGCCGTGCCCCAGCTGGTCCCGCTGGCTCTGGGCACGCAGCGGGCACCAAGCTGCGGGCCCTCCGCAGCCCCACGGCACCTCGGGCTCACCGCCGGCCTTTCCGCCTGACCCGAACCCAGCTCCACCTTATGACCAGGATGGCGAGGGGGCCCTGTCCCCATGGTGGCCCCACAGCCCGCGTAGGCACGTGGCGGCCACAGGTGCTGGCTGCGGCCCTGTCCCCCCAGTGCGGTGGGGTTGTAGAGAAAAGGCCCACAGTCGGCCCTGCCAACTGGGCAACTGGGTGTCCCACAGAACGGCACAGGACGAAGAGCAAAGGGCCTGAGCACGAAGCGACACACTTCCCAGGGGTTCTCTCCCAGGTTCTCCTCTGCCGTCACCTGCCCTTTGGCCGGTTTACTGGTGAGAGGGGGTGACAGCCAGCCAGCCCGCTATTCCCCGAGCACGGGCTCCCCTTCCCGGGCACGTCCATCCCAGCACCCACAGTTGCCCGAGCCCTGAGGGGGAGCCCAGGGGTGCTGGTGCTGCCCCTGCACAGGGTTTGTCCCGTGGGTGCCATGGCTGCTCACGGGTCACTGCAGCGCCCCTGGCATGTCCAAAGGAGACACACCAAAGTGCAGACGGAGTCAGACGGGCCGGAAGAGGAAACGCGCCCAACAGCTGAAGCCTGCAGGGCACTTGGGGCGCCACCCGAGACAGAACCCTCCCCCAGAACAGAAGCCACACACAGGTGGGCACGGGCGTTTCCTGCTCCCACGCTGCATGTCGTGTTGGCCGCTGCTCGTGACCTGGCGCCAGCCCCACCGTCATCACCCAGCCGGATGATGACGTAGGCCAAGTGTCTGCAACTTCCCTTTCTTCCCGAAATTTACAGAACTGAGACTGATTTAAGGAACCTCATTTACATTCCTCACTTGCCAGTTTCAGAAGACCCGAAATGTAGCTGCCAGTGACCACTCTGGAATTTATTCTCTGTGGCCAAAGGGACTGCCTGCCACAGAAATCCCCGTAACGCTGCCATTGCTACACACTTAGTCCCAAAGAGAATGTCAATAAACGTGTTTTTGGTTTTCTGATTTCCAGACTTACAAGCCTAACACCGCCTGTCCCTTCCAAACACGACGTGCTCGGAAGTGAGCCAGGCCTAGGGCTGCTGCACGATCCTCCTGGCCCTGCCGGACAGGCTGGCCCTGCGCTAACCTGCGGGACACACAGGGCCGGTCACTGTCGCCTCCTGAAGGGCCACAGGACCACTAACCGCCCTCCCGGCATATGGGCCCTGCCTCCCTCCTCCCTGAAGGAAGTGAGCCAAATCTATGGTGACACACCAACCGACCCGACCCCAGTACGTCGCAAGATTTTAGGTAGCAAACATCTACAGATTTCGGTAGAATGTAAATTCCTGCCCTTCACACACGGCTGGAGGCCGAGGAGGCTGCCGGCTCCGCCTGGAGCTGGGGGAGCCCACAGCCGGGCAGCATCACTTCCGGGCCAGCTCCAGCACCTTGGTCACCATGGCCCCGATCCCGTCGTGGATGTGGTGCAGCGCGGTCTCACACATGAAGGCCGGGGTCGTGACCACCTTGTTTTTCTGGTCCACGTGAACTTCGTGCACAGGCGTTAGGGAAAAACATCAGCCACCAAGGACAATGAGCAGTTTGTCAAGTGTGCACCAACCACTGCTCCCAGCTGCCCCCGGGACACGTGCCACCGTCCCTCCCACTGTGACTGGGGACATTCTTCCCAGTGTGATCTCAGCCCCACTTTGGGATGAGATTGGCTGTCTCGAGTGGTGGCCTCATGACGCTGCGGCATGGCGGCGTGCCACGCAGACCCCACGACGGCTCTGCAGGTGGCACCAGCATCGCTGCTTCTCAGACCGAGGCTAAAACCACGGGAGCTCGGCCATCGGCCGCTGCCACCGCAGAAGCCAGCTCCAGCTGGGACCTGCCTGACTCAACTCAAGCTCCCGCCCTGGGTCACGCAGACACCAAGAGGTGATAGCACTGGTCTCCCTCCACCTGTCCTAAGGTGAGCGGGAGCACATGCACCTGACAGTGACTGCAGGCAAAGACACTCCCAGACGACAGAACCACCGTCCCCACAGAAGGACGCGGCACTGTGTACTCCTGCAACGTGGCCCACGCGGGCTCCTCGGGGCCAGGTGCAGACCCAGCTCCCATGGCATCCTCTGTCCACCCCCAGAAAGTGGCTGACGCGCCTGCAGGAAGGACATGGGATGATGGGATGCCATCCGCCTGAACCGTCAGGACACGTCACCAAACAAGGAAGGGGAGCCCCCGCCCCCCAGGCCTGGGGACCCACACACTGCAAGTGCCCACGGGGCGGGGGCTTGAAACACGGCCAGGGATGGGTGCAGAGGTGCCCCCGCAGTGCCCTGCAGGTCCTGGGTGAAGACACCGCCTGCCTGAGGCTGCCCCGAGGCTGAGGGGCCCGCCACACGTGAAGGATATGGTCACGTCCTTCGCATGGTGCTTGGCGCCCAGGGCTTTGATGGCCTCTGCAGTCCCAGCGTACGGCCATTTGCCGCCTTCCTCCTGCTCGTGGCCCACGGTGACCTCGACGCCGCGGAGCACTTTGGCCGCGAGGACGGGAGCGATACAGCACAAGCTGAAAGGGGAGGAGAAGGGTCAGCGGAGCACCGCGAGGGCGGACGCCAGGCCTGGGCACAGCGGGCAGAGCCCCCGCCAGCTCTGAGAGTGGTGCCTGTCCCCCAAACCTAGGCCACCCACGGTAGTGTGACCAGTGGAGCCTGAGACAGCTGCTCCTGACCTGACCCTCATGCTGGTACTTCTCGACACAGGTGACAAGCTGTGGCAGCCTATGGAAAGGTGGCCACTCGGATGACAGCTGAGACTCAGCTGCCAGATGTGCACTGGGCCTCCCAACCTGGTGTCCTGGGGCAGAGGCCACTCTCAGAGGTGACAGACGGCAGCAGCCGTCTTAAGCCGAGCTGTGGAGAGTCTGTCACACAGCAACAGACAGCCACAGCCGCGCTGACTGGCTATAACCAGACCGCCTCCTCTGGAGGGGCCACAGGGGACACAGCCACTGGCAGCCTCGCCTGACCTGTGTGCAGAGGCAAGTGAAGGCCGGGCAGCTCTGCCTGGCACTAAGCCCCAGACACAGCCACAAGCAGGCTGTTCCCAAGGGCCCACGGGGCTCCCACCAGGCTGCTCTCCTGAGCCCAGCGGTTTGGCCAACATTGTGGCTCCAAGCCCCCCGCCCCCGAGAATACAGGTGACAGAAGCCACAGCAGCTCCAGGCAGGCCACCCCACCACGTAGTGGTCAGGGCCCACCCCCTCCCGAGGGCACCTGCCCCTTCCCTGCGTCCTTAACACTCATGTCTGGCCCACTGCTGACGCTCCGGGCCGGGATGAAAGTGGCCGGTGGGCCAGGATGAGACGCTGTGCGACATGTCCGCGCTTACTGTGGGGTCACAACTGACGCGGCTCCTGCTCAGACTCCTGAGCGCAGCCCTCTCTCAGCCACCGACGGAGCAGCAGGGCAGAGGCCACACGTATCTTGCACCTTGAGACTTCAGAGGGACCCGAAGCCCCGTGGGAGACCGGGGATGGCGGCTGCAGCCACAGGCCTTCCGGTCGGCTGCTCGGGTCTGAGGCCACGGACACTGGCGCTCCTGCCCTGAAGGTCAGGGCCATGCTTGTGAGCCCCTCGCTCTCCTGCACGCTCCTGACAGGCAGGCTGAGGTGACAGGCGGGCCGGAAGGGGCGACTCAGGCACCACCAGGGCAACACGGTCACTTTCTGGACGAGGATGCCAAAGGAAGTGCGGTAGGAGGGGTGACCTGAACTCCCGCATCACTGTCCCACCCCAGGTAGCCGGGGCAACCCTGGCCTCAGTTGTCTGCGCCTAACTCAGCCGAGAAGCCTGTTTATGCGACAAGACACGGCCACGGCCAGGGGGCCCATATGCCTGGCTTCTGTTTCGCTTATGCTTCTGAATCGGTCACAGAAAGGGTGCCAGCTCCTCCCCAGGTGCCTGCCACATAAGTGAGGCTGCTCCAGTGACAGCGGCCTGGGAAGTGAGACGCACAACATGACTGTCACCCCTCTTCACACAAGCCCCGGTCTGGAAGAACGTGGGCAGGAGGCGCTGTGCGTGAGACCCCTCCCAGGCTCGGATCCAAGGCTAGTGCAGGCTGTGCGGAGGGGCTCGCGGGACAGTGACTGGGCAGCTCTCAGTGAGTGACCACGAGTCTGTGAGATGCTGCCCAGTGAGGGGACCGTCCTCTGTAGCTTTTCTCTCAAGGGTCCAACGTAACTTTTTCTGGTTAAGAACGTGGGCAGGAGGCGCTGTGCGTGAGACCCCTCCCAGGCTCGGATCCAAGGCTAGTGCAGGCTGTGCGGAGGGGCTCGCGGGACAGTGACTGGGCAGCTCTCAGTGAGTGACCACGAGTCTGTGAGATGCTGCCCAGTGAGGGGACCGTCCTCTGTAGCTTTTCTCTCAAGGGTCCAACATAACTCTTTCTGCCAGTAACACGGCAGCAAGCAGCTCGGGGGTGCCGGGAGTGGCCTTGAGTTTGCACCCAGCAAACCTGCTCCTAGTGTGTCTGCACCGCCGTGCTCCTGCCAGGCCTTCCCCAACAGTGACCAACTGCAAGGATGAGGGACACATGTGCCCCGGCTCACTGCCGTCGACGGACCGCACACCAAGCTACGGCAGAACCGTGGGCGACCGCGGGATGCTCGTGGACTCGGAAGTCTGATGAGAGCAGGTCTGACCACGGCCCTGGGGGTGCAGGGGAGACCCTAAGGTGTGGCCGGTTGGAGGCTTCAAACCCTGGGTCACAGGGTACGACGTGTGCACCAAGAGCAACATGCGGCAGGGACGGTGCTCACGGCCATGACCCAGAGCGGAGACGAGGGCCAGCCGCGGGCCCGCTGACCAAGGACAGGAAGGCGGAGGCCATGCCATGCTAGAGCATGGGGCACTGGCAAAGGCTGACTGGGAAACCTTCTAGAAGCTGATGACCTCTTCCCTATTAAGTCATCATGAGAAATTAATGTAACCACACAACCAAAGAATTTTCGGAGCTGGAAGGCACCTGTGAAAGTGTGTGAATCCCCTCAGTTAAAACCAGGAAAGTGACCTAGTCTTCAAGAGCACACGGCTCAGAGTGGCAGCTCCTGGCTTCGGGCCACGGGGTCCAGCCCACCCCCTAACCCCTCGACCAGCGGTCACCGGTCTCCAGTAGTGGCCCCGCCCCCGCCTGGGCCACGCACCCGATAGGCTTCCCAGCCGTGTGGAACTCCTTCAGGACGCGCTCGACGTCCCTGTTGACTTTGCAGTCCTTCCCGTCCACGGCGAACGTGCTCCTGCAGGGGGAAGAGGCCGCCTGACGTCCCACAGCTCCCGTCCGTCTACGACCTGGCCCCGAGACCTCCCGTGCAGCCCCTCAGCCCCTGAAGTCATGTGCGCACGTGTGTTTGTTTCTTTAAAAGGAAGCGTGTAAGGCAGAGAGAAGGCAGGTGGGCGGGGCTTCCAGGATGAGGCAGGTACTGGACAGCTATGAGCGGAGGTGTGGACAGCACTGAGGACCCGAGGTGCAAGGCCTGGAGGGCCTGGAGGGCTGGGGGTGGGACAGCAGCATCCGCCCAGCCTGAGTGCGAAGGGGACAGAGGCGTGAGGGACAAGAGGGAGCGGTGACTCCTGGAGCACTGCCGCCGTGGTGGCAGGCAGTGCCGTCAGCAGAGGTGGGGAGCAAGGAGGTGCAGAGCCCCTGGGAACGGCCTGGTCAGTGGGAAGTCGAGCCTCAGGGCCGGCTGCCTGCCGTCGCGGCCAGGCGTTGTGTCACCAAAGGCCCCTAGGCTGGGACAGAGAAACCTTCTTATCTGTGACACAAGGCAATGCTCGATCTGGGGCTTGATTTTCTGATGTGTTGTTTCCATCAAGAACCTGTGGCCACGCTGTCACGCACACCACACTGCATGTCTGTGCAGCTGAGACAGCTGGGGGTGAAGCCCGTCCGTCACTGCAGCCCCGTGCCCACCGCAGGAGAGGGTGCTGGCACAGTGCATCTCCGTGGAGCACGGGCACGAGGGATGGAGAAGAGGGTCTGAAACCCAAAGGTGTCACAGTGGCATCCTCCCAGGCTTCCACCCAGGGACCATGACAGCTACGCAGAGCAAGGCAAGGAAGGGCTCCTTCCTGCAGTCAGGACGGTCAGATGACCGGAAAAGCAGTTCTCTGTGCTGCACAGCCCACGAGACCACGGGCGTCCGCAGGACTACTATGGGGACACCGCTGTGCAGCGAGGAGACCCCCCACACTGTGGCTCGGTCCGAGGGAGCCATGCCCAGGATGGCGGCCGGGTGCCGGGAGGGCTGAGGGGAGCAGGGAGAAGAAAAGCGGCCCCGGCTACAACACGGCCTAAGCCCCACCCGGCAGCAGTTTCCTGTCACAGCTGCTCCGTGCACCATTTGGACCCCGAGACCCCAGGAGCAACTCATGGCACCACCCGATCCCCATCTACCACCCCAAGGGAAAAGCGGAAGGCCCTGAGCTCAAACACACACAGGTTTTTGGCAGCGCCGAAGCCCCCCGGGAAGATGGCGGCGTCGTGGTTGGCTGCGCTGAGCTGGGCCAGGTCGGTGATCTTGCCGCGGGCGATTCTTGCCGACTCCGTCAGAACATTCCTGGGAAAGAGCACAGAGCGCCGAACAAGGTTCAGCGCATGACGGGGGCAGCAGCGGGTGGAGCCCAGGCCGTCTCCCGCCCCAGGGAGGGTGCTCGCACGTGACCTTCAGGTCAACACGCGGAAAAGGCAAGAGATACGGGACGAGAAGCTCTGTGCTACAGGTCTCTGGAACCTTCAGACTGGCACTGCAGAACCCACGCCAAGTCACCTGGAGCCTCCTGCACCCGTCAGGGGCCACCAAGAGGACAGAACCCCAAGTGTCTGAAGCAGACGGCATTTACGTGGGGATCTGATGGATGGCAGTGGTAGGAAGCTGCCACGCGAGGTGAGGGCAGCCATCCTAGCATCTGCCGCAGCCGGGCCCAGGCACTAAAAGCAAGCGCAGGGAACCGACTGGGGACCAAACCGCCCATCACCGTCTGCACTCGGCTGCAAGTGTCTGGGAGCCACCACCTCCAGGGGCGGCAGTCCTGCCTCCTGGCAGGACGAGGGGGAGAAGTAGGGCACAGAGCACGCGGGGCCTTGAGGACAGACATGCTTCAGAGAGCTACTCGAAGACGTGTGGGGCCCAGGCAGGTGAACGAGGGGCAGCCAAACAGGCGCACACCTTGGTCAGCATGAAGGTGGGGGCTCACGCGGCAGGAATCTGTTTCGGTAAGAAAGGGGCGGTGAGCACGTGAAGGGAACACTCTGAGGCCGATGAGTGCAGGTCGGCCCGGGACGAGGCCTGAAGGACGTGCATCTGGACAGATCTGGCTCTGGCGAGATGCAAGGACACTGCATGCACCTGCGCGCAGCTCCGCCCCGGCCCCGTTCACAGCGCAGGAGGAGGGGGAAACGCACACCTGCTTTCGCTCTCAGAAGGCTGCCCCTTGGTGTGGTCGATCACGTGCATCTGAGGGACGTCAGGGGCGAAGATCTGGACCTCGGCCCCACCACGGCTCAGGTGCACCAGCACGCTGCGTGGGAAGGGACCAAAGCAGACTCTGAGATGTGCCCAACCCTGCTTCACTTATTAACACGATTTTAAAAATGGGATTTTTTAAAACAGGACTTCAGCTTAATGTCAAGCATAAATGCCTTAAGTATGTTAACATCCCACTTACTTTGCAAAAACCTCTGATCACTTGCTGAAGACCCAAATGGCCACAATTTGAAATCGTGTCACTGAACTAGCCTGCACAAACCAGCTGGTCTCCAAGTTCCCTTTACAAACCCGGTACAGGGACGGGGTGACCCAGATGGTGTCACAGCCTGAATGTCTGGGTTCCCAGGCAGTTGCAGGGTGCTTTCTTCCTGAATGCCTATCTATGCGCGGCTCAAGGGCTTGAGGGTGGCTCTGGGTCGCGACAGTAAGTTCAATTCCTGGTCTCTACCAACTTTGCCATCATGGGGGTGGGAGACACAGAGACGCGCAGGTCTCCCCAAGGGCTGCTGATCACAACAGCAGTCTGAGGGCTACTTTGTGCCAGGCACACAATAATCACCAATCCTTCCCAGACTCGGTGCTGTCACTGGCCCCCTTTCAGAGGAGGTGGAGGCACGAGATGCACCACCCTGCAGAGGCGGGGTGCCGGTACTCACCCGGGCTCTGCTCCTCCCCGCCACCGGGCACTCCACATACAACTCCCTGCCCCTGCTGGGAGGGTTCGAGCTGCTCCCAGCTACTCCTCTGCATCCTTTGCTGTCTTGTCCCCTGCTCCTGGCCCTCTGCCGCCCACAAGCTCCACACACTCCCAAGCTCACTCCTTGCCTAGAGCCAACCGCAGTGCATGCCAGTGACTCCTGGATGAAGCGGCTGGAGGCCCTGTACAGCAACCAGCGTCAGGCTCCTCTGGGTGACCATGAGGCCTGGAGCTTGGAGCCGGGAGGGGGTGTTCCTGCACCACCACCTAACTCTCCCCCTGGAATTCACTCTGAACTTGACAGCCCCTACTGGTCCTGCTCACAGGTATCCTTCTCAGTGAAAAACTAGAATATGAACTACTCAGCAACAGCCGACAGGTTACATTAGTGACCGCCAGTCTACAGATAAGGGTGCGTCGTGGATGGAAACCTCCGCTGATGCAGAATAAACGGTTCCAATATCCAGGCGCCTGACCCCAATGTTCCTAACACGTGGGTGTTCAAATCTCCGACAGGAAGACGTCAAGTTCTTATCTGATGACAGCGTTACAGGTGAAAGCTAAGAAACTTATTTTGTGTCCCGCTGTATTTTACAGACACGACTTTAAAGCTTCCCTCTGTGTCTCCCTGCGTCTCGTCAGTCACTTTTGCTTTTCTCATCGCGGAGTTTCTCCAAACACTTGAGAAGACAGCGCCCCCACCCGCTCCGCAGGCGTCCCGAGGGGCTTACGCTGACGCCTCGTGGAGCTCCGTGCCGTCGTACACTCCGCAGCCGGACAGCACCTGCGGGAGGGGTGCAAGTCATGGGGAGTCCACCTGGTCAGGGTACCTCGGGAAGGGGAGGGGCGCCCGACTCGGGCTGCCCGCCCCCACGGCCCCGCGGGCGTGCACTCACCAGCGCGACCCTGGGCCCGGGTCGCGGCGCGGAGCCGTGGAGGGCCGCGCGAGGGGAGGGCGCCAGTCGGCTGGACAGCAGCGGCCGCAGGCAGAGGAGCGACGCAAACGTGGAGGCCGCCGCCAACCGGGGAGCCACCAAAGTCCTGGCAGCTGCCATGGCCGCGCTGAGACAGCAGGGTTAGAGGGTCACGCGGCGGAGGGGTCACGCGGCGGAGGGATCCCGCGCGGAACGATCCCTGCTGCGCCTGCGCAGTCGCCCAGTTCCGGTTCTAATCGTGCGAGCGCTGCGCTGGGGCGGAGCCGCGCCTGCGCAGTCACCTAGTTCCAGCCCTACTACCGTGAGCGCGCAGTCGCCCAATGCTGCTCCTGCGCGGCGTGCGTGTACGGGGCTGTCCTGTCCTTCAGTCCGCGCCGCTTCTGGGGTGGCCGCTGCCCCTCGATCCTGCCACGGCCTTCCCGGCCTGGCGCTACCAGCTCCCGTAGGTTCTGGGCCGCGCCCGCAGTGTGTCCTCGGAACGCGCGCAAGAGGCCGCTGGCCGAGCCACTGCGCTGAAATAGACTCCCGGGAATAATCTCAGCGTCTGTCATCTCGCCCCTAAAAGCGGTTTCCGAACAGCGAAGAGCCGGCGCCCAGAAGTCCGAGTTCCCTACATGATCAGTTTGCGTCGGGATCCGGGTGCGGTCCTCGCATCGCGGACGGGGCGCCGCTCCGCCTGCCACCCCTTCATGTAGGTGCCCTGGGCGTGCGGACCGCTCCCGGGTCCCTGACACTGCCCTCGTGTCCCCTGAGGACCGCAGCCCCGCTGGAGGCTCCCCGCGGACAGCCACAGGGGCGGCGCGCTCCTTCGTCGGGAGCCGGTGGTCTGTGGGCTCGTCCTGTGACGCGCACGCCCGCGAAGCTCAGTGTGCGTCCACGCCTTAATCTTCGTAAGATGGTGTCCTTCGGGTACTAAACAAAACTCTAACGTTAAAAAAGACGTAGTTTCCCAAGATTTGGTTCACATACAAACGCCTGGATAGATGCTTTATTCTTTCCTTTAATTTACCGATTTTCAAACTAACGACACGGGTTTTTTGAAATAATTTGAATGGTCACAGTTGGAGGCCACTGGTAAGCAACGGGCTGGGACCGCAGACACAACCCAGGGCCAGCACTGTTTTATTGATATTCAATTGTCTCATTTTTAAGACTTTTACAGTTAATCTCTGCAGGATATTCTCATGGGAAACAACAAACACATTATAAAATTGCAACAAAAAATGAGCCCGAAAGTTTTACTGTCCTTGTTCCTGAACTTTCATCCCTCACCTCTCCATTCCTACGGATGGGCCCAAGGGAGCTGTTCTCACTCCTCTCCCTGTAGCTGTGACCACTCCCACTAGCACCCTGGGGGACCAGCTGCCTCCATCCAGAACCTCAGCCGATCCCAGGGATGGTACTGAAAGACACAATCTGATTTGGTCAGCCTGGGAGTCATGCCCCTGCGCTCGCCAGGCTGCCTCAAGGGCGTTGCTCCTGCTGGGACTGGAGCACAGACCTCCTCGTCCCTGTCCTGTCACTTCCCCGGGCATCTGCTCAGCCGCACTTCACTGTGCACATCTGAAACTTCTTGCGTTGCTCCTGCTGGGACTGGAGCACAGACCTCCTCCCTGTCCTGTCACCTCCCCGGGCATCTGCTCAGCCGCACTTCACTGTCCACATCTGAAACTTCTTCAAAAAGCAGAGGCAAGGAAGGGGTAGCTGGTCAGTCCATGGTACGTGTGACGACGGACACACCGACACGGGCCAGAGTTCTCCCAGCCTGAGCACACAGTGGATGAATGACTCAGGATACACAGCCCCGAGAGTGGGCACAGGGCTTTCCAACTGGACAGTGGCTGTGGCAGCAGCTCCCGGTGCACCAGGTGTCATGTGCCTCGACCCTCACCTGACCCGTCAGGCCTCATGTCAGCCTGGGGAGGCAGGCTCCATTTCAAGGTGAGCGCAGGAGATCGGGGTGCCAGCCCGTGACTTGTGGGTCCCACCTCTGGTGATCGACAGGTTGGGGCCCAGTGGACACCATGCCCGCACTGCACCTGGGGCGGTCCATGTTTTGATCCTGGAAGTTGTGGCCACTGAGCCATGGGGACCAGGTGCCTGGCTGTGGTGGAGAAGCGGGTCAAAGGCATGGTCAGTGACCCTGTGGGGCACCGCACAGCGGAGCAGCCTGAGCAGAGCTGGTGGCAGGTCCCAGCAAGCAAGTTCCCAGGAGGCCTACCCTGGCCCAGGCCCCAGGGCTCCTGCATGCCCCCCTCCAGGGTCAGAGTCAAGCGGATGCCCCGAGGGCTGGGGTGTGGCCAGCAGCCCACCTGCCCAGCTTACCTGTTCCCCTGGCACAGGGGCCAGTGGGTGGGTGGCCCCGATCCCCCTGCATGACAATCGGACTCAGAAAAAATATTTAGTTTAGACTTAAGACACATTTACCCGTTAGAAAACCTCATCCCTTTCATCTCTAAGTTTATCATCAAAATTTTATATTAAAAATATAAATAACTTTTGTATAGAGTTTGAGTCTATAAACATGAACCCATTTGCCTCTTCGAAAGGTGTTCTCAATAGTAGACGCTCATTGCTTCTCGGCCTTTCAGCTAAGATCAAGTATAACAGCCGACGCGCGGTCTTTTTTTAATCTCACACCCGTAGTCGGCTCGCCCTTCCATGCCGCGGCCGCCGCCGCCGAGTTTGGTTCTCAGAGGAGGAGCGAGTCCTTGGTGACAGTGGTCCCACAGAGCTCCAGACCGCCCTCCGCTCACTTCCGGGCCCAGGCAGCTGTGCTTCCATCTCTTCCAGGGTCTTCACCGAGACGATGGGGCTGCAGTGCAGCCGGCTCTACACCTGCAGCCTGTCCCCATCCCCGGGGCCCGCCCCAAACAGCTGCAGACTGTCCTGGTCGGATGCGTCTGCCTCCTCCTCGCTTCCCAGCGGTTCTGAGGGGCGCTTCACGCCCCGCTGCCTGGATACTGCCAGCGCATACTGAATGTTGTAGCGGTTCCAGTCACAGCTGTAAGGGCACAGGAGTCACGCTGGTGAAAGCGGCCAGCGCTTCTGTTCCATCCCGAACCCTGGCTCACCTGGCACCCAACCACCTCCTCTGTGATCCTGAGAAAAACCAGCGGTGTGCTGCATGAGCCCCCACCTGCCCCAACTGTTCCCTCCTCTCATCCCTGCCCCCGGGGGGTCCAGTGTCTCCACCCAGCCCTGGAGCAGCAGGCTTCAAGGACCCACTATAAGACACGTCCCTTCTGGCCTGTCCTCACTGCCCCTGCCCGTCCCTGGGCCTGGCCCCGAGGACTTCGCCAGTCAGTCCTGCCCATCCCTGGGGAAGCGGCGGCTGTTTCTGAGAGCCGGCAGGGCACCGATCCCCACGTCATTAGAGTAAAGATAGAAACTGCACGATCGTTTCGGTGTCAGAATCCGCCAGTAAGAGGGGCGGAGGAAGGATGGAGGGACGAAGCACACTTCTGGGAAGCCTGATGGAGGCCTGCCTGCGTAGCCGGGCCCCCGAACGGTACACAAAGCCAGCTGGACCCCGACACCCGTGGCAGACCACTAGATGTGGAAGTTCAGGGACAGCGCGTTCGCATTAACCACACGAGGATCGACCCAGCAGGAGGCCCTCTCCGCCTCGGCGTTCCTGCAGGCAGCCAGAACGCGCGCGGAAAAGCCTCAGGAAGGCTGAGGAGCACAGGACGGGAGGACCGTGGGACCCCCGGGTCCGGACCTCTGGTCCCCACCTCTGTACTCGCCCGGTCCACAGTGGGCGGGGAAGACCCCCCAGGATAGGCCAAGCTGCGAGGCTCTCAGGGCTCCACAAAGGTAAGGTCTCGGCGCCAGAAACAGGACGGCCGGAGCCACCATGGCACGTACTCACTGTTCTCAGCTCCACACCACACCTGAAGCCGGCCAGCCCCAGGCCCCCCGCGGGGTGGGCCAGGTGGATTTAGTCCACCAGCAGCGAGGGAACAGACACCTCTGACACTGGTACCTTTTGTCCCCAAATCAGATGACATGGGAAGCAGCCGTGGTGTGGAGCCGGCCGGCGATGGTGCCAGCCCCACGCTGCCCACCCACCACGCCAGCAACACTTACAGTTTGGAGATGTCGTCCAGGTGCCGCTGGATGCCCTTCTGCAGGAACTGGACGACCGGCAGCAGCGTCCCCGCTCTGGAAGAGAGGCCCCCTTAGCGCTCGGCAGCTACGGAAGCCCCGCGAGCCTCTCTCTGCGCCGGGCCTGTGGGTCGGGCCCGCCGCGCCGCGTTTGTAAAGGCCTCACTCCGTGCCAGGTTTGCACGTCACCGTTTTTATCTACAAAGAGCAGCTGTGACAGGAGGCACAGACGAACACAGGTAAGCACACAGTACCTGGACTTCAGCTTCTGTCCGTGTGCCAGAAGCAATTTCTGGGTCCAGATAAGGTAGAATTCCAGATGGCGAGACACTTCAAAGGACGAGGCCAAAAATTCAAGCACTTTCTCCACGTACAGCTCAGGGAGGGAGGAGCTGATAACTTCAACTGTGGGGAAGGAAGAAAGCCAGGCTCGCTGCAGAGAACCCAAATCGGGGAGAGCGCTGCACCCGCTGGGAGCCCAGGCCCCGCCTGACGGGTGTGGACACGGCCCGCCCGGCCCGCCCGGCCCGGTGCTCACTCTCGTCCCAGGGCACGGACTCCAGGGCCTCCTGCAGCAGCTCCCTCTCGTTGAGGCGAAAGGCCATGAGGACGGCCCTGGTGAAGTCCCGCTGCCGCAGCGCCGCCCGGACCCGCCCAGGGGTGACGCTGGTGTCCAGCTCGAACGGGTCGAAGAGCAGCTGGGCATCCAGAGAGTAGATGAGGAGCCCCTCGGTGGTGGTGGCCGCCCAGCAGCGCCCTGCGGGGTGAAGTTGGGCGGCTTCCTCAAGGGCTATTCTCACCTCGCGCCCCCGAGGCAACGCGTATGAGACGCGGTCCCGCGGTCCCACGGTCCCCAGTGTGGCAGCACAGAATGGGGACGTCTTCTCCCTGCTCCTGCCCCAGCCGCCAGGTCCTCCCGGGCAGAAGCGCCCAGGTCGCTGGGGCAGGCCGTGCTCCCAGGCCAGTGTGCACGCGGGAACGCACACGTGGGCCCTCCCCGCCCAGCTGCCACCAGGCCTCCCTGCCAGGGGTGGACACGCTGGTTTCACAGGCCACGCGGGCTCTGCTGCGACGTCTCGACTCCACCGCAGACAAAACACAGACGTGTGGCTGGGCTGTAAATCTGATGACAGCACCAGGTGAACCTGTCCCTCGGCCACAGCCTGTGCCCCTGGCCCGCACAGGCGCGGCCCTGTACCTTACTCTCCTGTAACCTAGCCATGCCGGAGAGTACCAGCTGCCAACCCAGAAACAAGCCCGCCCCCCTGCACACACCTGACGGCCCCAGCCCGCCCTGCAGCACCTCAGACACGTCTGCGGACACTCGGTGGTGGGGGCAGGAGGCAGCCCCCAAGGCGGTCCCAACTGACACATGTGAATAGCACTCAAGGCAGGCGCCCACCTGTCCATTTCCAAGCCCAGCCTACCTGAGGTCATGGCTTTCATGGCCATTCTCTCGAGAGGACAGATGACCACATCTTACCCACGTGGGGCAGTGCAGCCCAGAATCAGCCAGAAGCTCCGAGACCGACCTCGTCCCCAGAAACAGAGCTGACAGGCCCACTGAGCACAGTGCAGGCCTGACACCCAACCCGCACCCCTTCCCGCACCAACCGCCCGCTGCTCAGGGCTCACCCGTGGGAGAGAAGCGGAGTGAAGTCACCCTGATTTCAGGTTTGAAGTGACGAGAACTCATGTCACCTGAAAATCAAAGGAACCACTTGTTACAGGCAGCATACCCCTTGCCACTCACCAGACAAGGGAGGGCCCTTGGGGTCACTTTGCTCCTGGAGTGGCCACGGGCCCAGGAGTGGCAGCCCTAGCCCTCCCACCCTGTCCCAGACGCAGCGGGTGAGCTCTGTGCCTGGGCCTCAGATGCTGCTTCGTGGGTGCCTCTGGCCTCCACAGATGAGCCCTTGGGGCAGATGCTCCCGCGGACACCGGCCTGGCTGGCAGATGGTTCCCATCTTCCAGGGAGAGGCCTCCGCCCAGCCCAGGGCTGCGAGGCAGGGTGGGCCTGTCCCCACCCGCCCGCGGGTGCGGTGCCCAGGTGCAGGACTGCTCCAGGCAGCTTGGGAGTGGGGGCCCCTCCTCCCCGGCACACGAACCACCTGGCACTTCGTTTTCAGGTTGGCCTTGTAAAGGGCGAATCAACCCCGGGTGAGAAATTCAGTGACACCAAAACGATCTGTGGTCTCCTGGCTGCTCAGCCCCCAGCCGCCCGGGGCCCTTCCTGGAGCCCAATCCGAAATACACTGCGGGGGCTTTCGACCTCGGGATGGCCGACATCTGGGGTCGGGTCCCTGTGGGTCCTGCAGACCCCGACCTCCCACATTCAATACCAACAGCAACCCTCCCCAACCTGTGACAACCAAAACGTCCCCAGACAGGCAGAGGCCACCACTCTAACACCGAGGAACTGCAACCCCGCTCTCGGTGGGGGTCTCAGAGATGCCAGCAGGTGCAGAGAAGCGAGCGCACTGTGCCCCGCGGTGCCGGGAGCTGCTCCGGAACCGGCACCAGCCCCTTCAATCCCCCGGTCGCCCGCCAGTTGCTAAGGTGTCCTGGCTCCCCGAGCGTAGGGCAGGCCCCACGTGTCCGGAGCGGGCTCGAGCCAGGGCGGGAATGAACGTGGCCTGGGCCAGCGCCGGGAGAAGCGGGCCGGCAGCGCAGCGGCTGTGACACCGCGCCACGCGTGGGCTTTCTGGCTGACGGGTGTCCCTTCTGGACGGTCTACCCAGGCCCGAGAGTCCCAAGTCTACTGCCCTTGTCCTGGTGAGGCACGTAAACCCCTCGAGCCGCCTAGACTGTCAGCTCCAAGACACGAGTCCTCCTTGTGGCCCACACGGGGGATGGCGGGGCCCAGGGCTGGCCTGGCCCAGAGAGCACGCCGCAGCCGCGGGCCATGCAGCAGCACACGGCGGATCACCCCGCACCCCGGACTCCAGCAAGACACGACGTGCACAGCGAATGCTCGGATACCGACCGGCACAGCCCGACAAGGGACCAGGGCTGCTGTCACCCAGGAAAAGCGGGTGAGCAGGGCAGCCTGCGATGGCCGAGCCCACGGAGGACGCGGGGTCTTCTGCTCACCTTTCTTGACCCCTGGCAACGGAATGGCGACTCCGCTCTCCTCCGCGGCGTCTTGATCAATTAACGCCAGGTTGCCAAACTCTGTCATTTTCTTTCGGTTCAAAAATTCCTAGAAAAGCAAAATCCCAGATGTCTCGCCGTCGGAAGTGAGGGGGCGCGTGCCTCCACCCGTGCTTGTGTGCATGAGCACTGGGGGAGGGCCCAGCCCTGCCTGGAACGTGCACAGGACACACGGACCCCGAGAAGAGACAGCGACGAGCCTGTTTCACGGCAGAACCTCCCCCAGGGCCTGGCGCTGCTGGGCCGGAGTCCCCGCTGCCACCACAGTGCTCAGATTCTCCACGCAACCTCTGAAGGGCTCCAGGAGTCCCTCCAAGCGGGGTGCACACAGGGGTGTCTGCCGACACGCAGGGGTGGCTGCTCCCGTAGATGCCCACCTGCAAGGCCCATCCTAGCCCCATGACCTCAGAAAATGCCTAGGAAGCTTCCCCCAGAAACGTCTAGAAGCTCAAGGCGTGACGCAGACCCGTGCTGGGGTCCCGAGAAGCCCACGGAGCCAGGCCGAGGCGCCCCAGCGCACACGCACCTCCATGGCGTCCAGCGACAGGTTGCAGGAGATCTCAAACTTCTTCCTCAGGACCTGCTCCTTGACGTGGTAGATGCACACGAACTTGGACATCCCTCCTGCCAGGACGCTCTCGCCATCCGCGGAGTAGCACAGAGTGGTGAAGGCCCTGAGCGCAGGGGACTGGGGCTTAGTCGCCGCCACATGTGTGCCCCCACCACGGCCCACAGCCCAGGCGCTGCTGGACCTTGACCGGCATGCAGTTCCCAAGGTGCAGGCCCCACTCCTGAGGCAGCACCGTGCCCACGGACGGCGTGGACTGCGGCCTCCCCCAGACACGACCGCCACACACAAGAGCCGCGTGGCTCAGTCAAGGCCTGTCCTTGTTGGAGTGAGAATGAGGAGGCCGCCCTCCCAGCGCCCACTCCCTGGAGTGTCTTAGTCCTGCGGTGCCAGAAACCAGGCATCTGTTTGCTCGTGGGACTTGAGACAGCGACGTTGGACCTGACGATGGATTCTTACATGTGACACCAAAACCACGAGCGACAGAAAAAAAAGATGAACCGGCTGTCTTCAAAGTGAAAAACCTTTGCACTTCAAAGGACACCACCACGAAAATGAAGACAATGCAGGCAAGAGAAAATGTGTGCAAATCGCATACGCGACAAGGGTCTCGCACTGTGACATATGGAGGCCTCTTATAACTCAACAATAAAGACAGGCACCCCAAGCAAAACAGACAAATGCTCTGGAGACGCATTGTCCCGAAGCCACCGTGAAAACAGCCAGTGTGCCATGAGAAGGTACGCAGGAACATCAGTCCTCAGGGAAGTGCAGATCAGAGCCCCGGAGCCCACCTCCCCCTGCCCCCCACAACATGGCTGTCGTTTAGAACAAAAGACTGAGCTGGTGGCCATGTGGGGACTCGGAATCCCCCCAATCCCCCCACTGCTGCTGCTGCCTCTCTGGGAAACGGCCTGGCAGTTCTCAAAAACCAAAACAGAGTCACCCTGTGGTCGCCCGGCACCTCCTCTCCTAGGCACACTCCCGAGAGAACTGAACACAGGTGTCCTCACACCCTCGTCCTCGAGGGCTGCTCACACAGCCCAGGGCGTGCGAGAACACTGCAATCTACTGGCCCGCACAAACCC